ATCATCACGACAATAACATTTTCATCGCCAATAAAATTTTTACACAAGGTCATGAATGTTGATAGCAATATGACTCGAAACAATACTTATATAAAAGTATCTCAAGATGCTCTTAATCTTGGAATTGTCCTGATGATAAAATCAAGGATGATGGGGTAATTTTCATAGTGAAATTGGCCATGATACTCAAATCATAGTGTTCTCTCTCGTATTAAGCGATATTTTTGACTGGAGAATGCGATCAAAAGAGAGAGGAGAGGGGAAGAAGAAGAAGAAGAAGAGTGGAAAGGAAAGGGGAGCAGTCGGCCGAGCCACAACAAGTGAAAGGATTAGGATTTTTGAACCTCAATTATTAGTTTATATATTGAGCGTCCAAAACTACGTCGTTTTGCGGGACGGGGCGGATACCATGAGATCAATAAGCACCCATTGCATGCTTTTATCGGGTTTCGGGCATACCCGGATCCACGCTTTAACCACGACGGACGGTTTTTTTGACCTCCATCTGGGCGAGTTTCGGATGGATACCCGGTGGTCCGGATAGGGTTGCCATCCCTAATCACTCGTTTGATTCCCTCTAACGCGTCTTGATCCACTTGATGTCATTACTCATTGGGAGTGCAATTCCTATTGAAACGAGGTTGGAATTGGATGTTAGACGAAGGAGCTAGGCATTTGGGAGTGTGCCAACCAGAAGTGGCGCCATTGTTCCTCGACAATTTCATGTGAGTATCGACCAATTTTCAGGAGAGTTTTGGCAGAATTGGTGGGTTTTAACCAGGTGATCTATTGGAATTGTGTTTCTTACATTAATTATGAGTAGCTAAAATTCAAGTGTTGGTTAAAATGGTGGAACCCTATGGAATTCTATTGTTAGAATATGACTTGAATTTGATTTGAGTTTGTTTTGTGTTTTGGGCCTATTCTGTTTGGGTTTGGGTTTGGGTTTGGCCTTTTCCTTGTATGTTTGGGAAAAGGTGTTTGGTTTTCTGTTTGGGATTAGGAGAAGAGTTCTATAAATACTCTTCATCTCCCTAATCTGTAGTAAGGTAAGTCAGGTTAGTTTGTTTGGTTTGTCCGTTCAGAATTTGGTTTGTAACCTGTACTCTCCTCAAATTAGTGAAATTTGTTCTCCCCTGCCCGTGGATTAGCTACCACACATTGTGTTAGTGAACCACATTAAATTTGTGTTCGTTCATGTTGGTTTGGATTATCGATTGCCACGCTTCTGTTCTGATAAGTGGTATCAGAGCCTTTGGTTGCGGTTTTGGGAATTTGGCACCGGACTGAAGTTTTGCTTTGTGGAGTTTGGTTGGAGTTTGTTTGATAGTAAGAATGGCTGCTATCAGTATGAAGATTGAGAAGTTTACCGAAAGAAACAGTTTCAGTTTGTGGCAGATCAAGATGCAAGCGCTGTTGAAACAACAGGGTTTGTGGGCTCCGTTGTCTGGAAAATCGAAGAAGGAAAGTATAGATGAAGAAGAGTGGAGTACTTTGGAGGAGAAAGATCACTCTACAATCTTGCTTTGTTTGCCTGATGACATCATCACTGAGGTTGCTGCTGAGAATACTGCTGCGGGTTTGTGGTTGAAGCTTGAAAGTCTATACATGACAAAGTCTTTAACCAACAAGTTGCATATGAAGCAACGTTTGTTCAGTTTGCGCATGGAGGAAGGTACGTCTCTCAGGAATCATTTAGATCAACTCAATACTATCTTGCTAGATCTGCGGAATATTGATGTTAAAATAGATTATGAGGATGCTGCCTTAATTCTGTTAGTATCTTTGCCACAGTCATATGAGAATTTTGTGGATTCTTTTATTGCTGGGAAAGATAGTTTGTCTTTGGAAGATGTCAGATCTGCTCTACATACTAGAGAGGTTCGACATAAGGCATCTGGTTCTGGTTCGGAAAATCAGGCATCTGGGTTGGCTGCTACGAGTAGTAGGAGAAAACAATCTGGTAATAGGAAGGCGAATACAAATTCGAATTCTGCTGGTTTGAAGGATGATATCTGTCATTACTGCAAGGAGAAAGGACATTGGAAATTTGATTGTCCTAAATTGAAGAAATATCAGGAGAAGAAGGAATCATCTGCTGTTGTGGCGGAAGAAACTAACTCTGATTCTGAAGATGGTTTAGCCTTAGCAGTGAATGAACAGATACATCATCAAGATGTGTGGTATTGAGATACTGCAGCTGATTATCATATGTGTCCAAGCAGTGAATGTTTTTCTATGGCCAATGGTGCTATCTGTAAGATTGTTGGAAGAGGCTCCATCAGGATGAGGACACATGATGGTTCTGTTCGCACCTTGAACAATGATAGGCATATTCCAGAGATGACTAAGAATCTGATATCTTTGAGTCTACTCGACGACAAGGGTTTCAGTTTCAAAGGTGAAGGTGGAGTGATATATGTCTACAAGGGTTCTAAGGTAATTTTGAAAGGTGTCAAGCGGGGTGCCTTGTATAATCTACAAGGTTCTGTTTTGACATGTTCTGTTGGTGATAAGTGCACCAAGCTGGTTTTGAATGGCAAGTCTCAGCATGGGTTGGACTTGCCGAATGGTTTGAGTTGTTGACCGCCCTTAGGGGCATCTGGAGGCAGGGGAGATTCTGGTACAACTGATTTTAAGGAGTTTGGTATGTCTGGCAATCTTGATTGCATCTGAGTTTGGCGATTTGCATCGCGTTTGAGTTTGGTGATTTCGATCACATCTGGTACATCTGGCAACTTTAGTTGCGTCTGAGTACATCTGGCAACTTTGGTTGCGTTTGGTACATCTAGCAACTTTGGTTGCGTCTGGTACAACTGGTATTTGACAGAATTCAAGTCAAGGTGGAGATTGTTAGAATATGACTTGAATTTGATTTGAGTTTTTTTTGTGTTTTGGGCCTATTCTGTTTGGGTTTGGGTTTGGCCTTTTCCTTGTATGTTTGGGAAAAGGTGTTTGGTTTTCTGTTTGGGATTAGGAGAAGAGTTCTATAAATACTCTTCATCACCCTAATCTATAGTAAGGTAAGTCAGGTTAGTTTGTTTGGTTTGTCCGTTCAGAATTTGGTTTGTAACCTGTACTCTCCTCAAATTAGTGAAATTTGTTCTCCCCTGCCCGTGGATTAGCTAACACACATTGTGTTAGTGAACCACATTAAATTTGTGTTCCTTCGTGTTGGTTTGGATTATCGATTGCCACGCTTCTGTTCTGACATCTATAATTCATGCAGACTTTATGAATGAATACAAAATAATCGAGGTACTTAAGATAATATGGGAAGCGCACCCTAGGTTAAGAAATGTGTTGAAATTCAAATATTTGTTTATAAATGGAAGAAATTTAGCTGCTGTCTAGGTTGCAGCGCAACGCTGCTACCTAGCCACATGGCCTCATTTTATTGGTTTAATTATTATGCTAATTAAATTTGGACGGAACGGATATGTATGCATTTAACGGCGTTTTCAAACGGAGAAGTAGGAAAGACAGGGAAATTTTTTCCCCAAATACAGGCGAGAATTCTATTTAATATAAAAGGAAATAGTGAAATACGGGAACTTGGTGCTAATGGAAATTTAAAGAAACCTATTATCAAAACAATTTGAAAGAAACGCACAGTGAACTTATGGGTGGCAGTGTGAGTGTGATACCAATTTATGTTTCTTTATTTTTATTTTATTTATATTTGTCATATAATTTTTTTAGGTTTAATAACATTTTGTATTTCTGTACTATGCTAAATTAACAAACATATTTGTCTACTAAATTTTTGGACAAACGTACCATTCTAATAATTAAACGTAACGAGTTTACCATTCTATCTAATATGTTAAGTGTCATTAAAGGAGCATGAAATTACTCAATTTCCCCTCATTTACTTATATACACTCGTGATTTTGATTTTACCCTAAATTAATAAAGAAACACTAGATGAGAGACCGTCTATCTGATCGTCGTATCAACCAATTCTGTCTACTCCAGCCACCGGGAGTAGGAGCCGCCGCCGAGTCAAGGGGCTGATCGCCAGGGGAGACTTCAGAGTAGATACGGTCAAGTGCGTGTGAATTAGTTTAGGATTTTGATTTTTTTAATTAATTGATTTTGGACATAGTAAAATAATTAAAACCAGGAGTGTTTGGGAGTAAAGGAGGGGCATTGGATCATTTCACAACATCTTTAACGGTCACTTAGTAGATAATTGGATGGAAGATTAAACTCATTATTTTTTAATATTCAAAATGTCTGTTTGTGCAAAATTTTAATAGACATATACGTAGGGATGGCAATGGGTCGGATACGGTGCGGGTACCCTGTATCCACTACCCGCAATTTAAGCCCGCGGGTTTTGCCCATCACCGCCCCGCTAAGCCAAATGGGCACAAAATCTGGACCAAGCCCAAGCCCATCCGGATTTCGGTGAATCCACGGGTCACGGGCTGCCCGCCAACATGTAACAAAAACCATCCTTCCAGATCAAAACCAATGTACTTAATGTGGTAAAATTAAACTGAAAGCAAGACTTTTAGGACATTCAACCTTTAACCATGAACTTGCAAACAACAAACCCATGACTTTGTCTTAAATCCAGAAATATAACAATGATAACAGTTGAACTAAGAAGTGCAACCTGTTTATCTCAGCTAACAATAATAAAACCGAGCTAACAAAGAAGACAATTAAACAAAGCAATCCATGATGTTCTGAGACTAGCTAAGCAAAGCATAGCAGCAGACAAACAAAGCCAAATGTAGTTCAGAATTCCAGCAGCAGATCAGCAGATATCTTCCAGCAGCAGAACAGCACCAAAACAGCACCAAAACAGCAGCAGAACAGCACCAAAACATCACCAAAACAGCAGCAGAATAGCAAACCATCATTCACCATTCATTCCCTTAACTACTGCCTAATGGACCAGAATCTGCAATATGACATTTTCAAAATATGTTCAGAATTTAACACAGAAGCAGCGAACCATCATCACCATTCATTCGACAAACCTAGAGCTACTCCAGCAGGCTGATCACAGCAGCTACCTCATCCTCATCTCCTTTATGCTTCGATTCACGTCCATCTCCATCTGTTACAAAGCAATTTGGTTAGAAAAGAGCAGAAACTAAATAATGAACTAGTTATAGATATATAAAAAAACCAGATACCAATGCACCCTTCCACCGAGGCATCATCCATTGCCATAGCTGAGAAAACCCCCTCTAGAGCTTTTAATTCCGAGGCAGACACTACAAGGCAGGGAAAGCAAGAATTAAATCATTAATTGATTAGTTTACAAAGTAAGAAATGCAAAACACAGCAAAACAGTAGAATTGATCTAAAACAGTCACCTTTGCTATCATCTTTAATCCATGTCCTCAAGATCATCATAGCTTCAACTGTTACGGGATCAAGCCTGCTCCGATGGGGGTCTAGAAGCCTCCCACAAGAACTAAAGGCAGATTCTGAAGCCACACTTGTAACAGGGACAGCAAGTAAATCCCTTGCAATTTCTTGCAAAATGGGATACTTGGCCCCATTAAATTTCCACCAACCAAGAACATCAAAATCTGGTGTTCTAGGATGAACATCCTCGGCTAAATAATGATCTAACTCAGTGGTTACCACTGATGTTCTGGTTTTTTTCCTTTGGCTCACATATAGATCAAAATCCAGATCTGTGGCCGAAGGAGAAGGACCAGAAGTAGAAGAAACAACAGTGTTCTTAGAGGATTTCCTCTGATACTCCACAACCAAGTCAGCAACAACATCTCTGACCCTTTCAATCACAAGGTCAGTACTTGAAATACCAAAATTTTCAGCATAGTACCCAACCAAATCCAGTTTGTACCGCGGATCCATCACAACAGCCACAGCCAACAACATATGTATATCATCCCAGTATTTAGTAAACTTATCCCACATGTTCGCAGCCATAGAAACGATCATCAGATTAGGATCCACTAACCATTCCATCAAACGCAACCTCAAGTCACAAACTTTAGCAAAAAACAGATTGGCTGTGGGATAGTTTGAACCAGAAAATATAGCAGTTATGTCCTTGAAAACCTCAAGTTTTCCACACACAATTTCAGCAAATTCCCACTGCTCGTTGCTTGGCAAAGAGTTGTATTGAGGTTCCCTTCTTTTCATAAGAGAGAACACAGCCTTATAGGGGATAGCAGAAGAAAGCATATCATATGTAGAATTCCACCGAGTGGGACAATCCAACACAAGTTTCTTAGAAACAGCCAGCTTTAGTTGCCGGGCAGTTCCATGGAAAATTTCAACTCTCCTAGGGGTGCATGTCCAGAATACCACACTCTCCCTTATGTTCTCAATTCCATCTTTAAGAACATCTAGGCCATCCCTCAGAATCATATTAAGGTGGTGGGCAGAGCACCTCATATGGAGAAGTGTCCCATCCCTAATCAAATTAGATAGGACCAGCCTTTGTTTAACTAGATTGATCATGGAATCATTGGTAGTACAATTGTCAAGAGTAATTGTCGACAATGTACTATCAATGTTCCATGATTGGAGGCATTTAACGAGCTTTGCAGCCAACCTCTCACTAGTGTGGGGGGCAGGGAGATAACCAAACATAATCAGATGGTTCCTAAGAATCCAAGAATTGTCTACGTAATGGGCAGTGACAGCCATGTAAGCCATTTTTTGGTTTGTTGTAGTCCACATATCAGTGGTAACAGCTATTCTCCCTCTGTTTTGATCCATGAGCCTTTGAATTTTCGACCTCTCTAAACCATAAATAGTCACGATATTTTTTTTATGGTATTTCGGGTTGGGACTTTGAAGAGAGGGTTCAAGGTGCAGCAAAACCTTTTGAAGTAAAGGTGGTCAACAATAGAAAGGGGATACTCATGCACCAAGATCATGGTGCAGAGTTCCTTTCTAGACACCTCACTACTGAATTGATTGGTACTAATGTCAGCTGTACCATTGACATTGTGGTTAGCACCCAGAATTTTTTGACTCCCATCATGTATTTTTTTATGAATACATTTGTTCCTATGAGTCCTAAGATGAGAGGTACCATTACTAGATTTCCCAGCCAAAACCTTCTTGCAGTAGTTGCATTTTGCTTTCAGAATCCCATTTACCATCATCCTAGTGAAGTGAGGCCAGACATCAGACTTTAAAGACCTACTAGCACCTAATGGAAGTTGAGGAAGAACATCTTCCTCAACATTAGGAGGATTACCAGGAGGAGGGGCAGGTGCATTCTCAATGTGTTCAGGTTCCATCTGTTTAAGAGGAAGGAATAGGAAAATGTTTTACAAGTATATCCAGTTGGATTCAAAAGAGGACAGCCGACAGAGAAAGAAATCACAGTTACAGGATTAGGAGTTTAATTGATGAGAACTTAATCAGTTTAGCATTGACAACATTTACTGGATTTGTATCTTACTGGACTCGGCATTACTTACAACAGATTATCATTGATCAGATTACAGTTTAGCATCGAGCAGATTACAACAAATTAGCATAGTACTCTTGAGCAGATTAATAGATTATCAGTTTAGCAGTTTAGAAGTTTCCAACATAAGCTTACCAGTTTCAAACTTAAGTACTTAACAGATTAGATGTGTTCAGTACTTAAGTTGATCATAAACGAAACCAATTGACAAAATGTGAAAGTTACAATCATCCCCGATTGACCAGTATAGCATATTACATGTGTTCAAACCATATTTCCTTAGAACATAATCAATTCACCATAAACAACCAAGTGAACTAGCAACAAGGTGCAAAATTAGCACCAGCTGAATTTCTAACAATCTAAGAACGACTTACCTAAGCAGATTGAAGATTAATCACCTGGTGCTTGATGAGAATCCAGAACAGAGAGCTGCAAAAAGCCAAAAAACACAAATTCATGCAAATTAGCGTCTCCGATATTGAAATACTAAGCAAACACCCGCAAACAAATCATTAAACGAACTACTACATGCAAAACTTACTGAGAATGACGGATAAGCAGGGAGCTACAAAAAGCCAGACACCTGCTGCTTGATGAGAATCCAGAAGACCAGAACAGAGAGCTGCAAAAAGCCAAAAACACAAATTCATGCAAAATTAGCGTCTCCGATATTGAAATACTAAGAAAACACCCGCAAACAAATCATTAAAGGAACTACTACATGCAAAACTTACTGAGAATGACGGATAAGCAGGGGGGGTTCCGAAATCTTTTGGCTAGGGTTTCTGGATTTAGGGTTCCAAGAACTGCAGATGAACAAAATGAAGAAGTGAGTCTCCTATTTATACAGTATACACATTTCAGAACAAATCGAATAGGGAAAGAAAGAAGAAATGAATCCTTATCTCGATCTGGGAAATAAATCGTATGCATGCATGATTCGAAGCCGATTTCCATCGATTGAGACATTTTAGGTGAGTGAGGGCAGCGATTAAGGGATGGGATCGTCGATTTACAAGGGAACACGCCGAGAAAGGAGGAGGAATCATCGGAATGGAAGAGATTTGGATAGGAATCGGAGAGAAATCGGCGATTCCGCCGATTCGCCATTTCGAGTTGAGAGGATTTCGGGGACGAGGGCGGCGGGGTTTGCTGAAAATGGGATTTCCAGACCCTAACCCTAAATTTGGCGATTATATACGCCTTACAAAACGACGTCGTTTTGTACTCTGGGCGGGTACGGGGCGGGGCTCGTTGAATCCGTCCCCAGCCCATCACCGCAGCGACCGGGTCGCGGGCAAACCCGTCACCGAGATCCAGCCCGCCTTCGCGGGTTTAAGCCCATTCCTTGCGGGCGGGCCCTGCCGGATGCCCAAAATCCGCGGGCCCATTGTCATCCCTACATATACGTTTGTTAATTTTCCATAATAAATAAATACGAAATGCTATTAACCTAATAATTTAATAAATTTTACATAGCCATTTCCTCTTCACTATAACCTAATGGAGGAAACCCACGTATGATCAATTTGACATAGCCATCATAAAATGGCCTGCATAACACAAACAATAGCCTAGCACTAAGTTGCCGTCTTTCCTGCTTCTTCGTCTCATGTCCCGTCCAAAATCAAAGCTGTGAAATGTCTCCGTCGGTCCGTCCCGTCCGAATTTAATTAACATCTAATAATAAATTAACATAATAAAACCAATGAGATAAGGCCATGTGGCTGGGTAGCAGCGTTGGGCTGCAACCCAGACAGCAGCCAAATTTTGCCCTTTATAAATAGCTTCCGAAATTCCTTAATTACCAAACACGAGAACCAGGCAACGTTACCAAGTAATCGTGGTTTGGTGTACAACCTATCAATTTTTACAACATGATTCTCAATTTGGCATCCTTTAATTAATATGTGAGCGGAGGTTAGGGCCCAAATTAAGGATGAAGGATAGCGAATTTCACTGTCATGAGAATACTTGTATCTAACTCATTTGGAATGATAGTAGGTGGTCAGCAACTAATCAAAATGAACTTAAGAATTTGAATTAGGGAATTGATCTGGAATTCCTTGTATGCCTAGGGGAAAGTTATTTGAACAAGGCCTTTATCACTGGAGTTACACTAGTGTTAGTCTGCTTGGTTGCCTTTACTTCTGTTAAGAGTAAATATTAAATAATTACTAGTAATTCCTGAAATTCACACCAGAACCCCAGCTTTGAAATGCTTGTTATTGTACTTAGGGTCTGGCCAATAGTATATAGTAGGGAGATGCGAAATCCCCACTTGTTTGTTGTACTTGTGTGTTGCAATGTGAATATCTTAGCGAAATACGACTCACAACCAATGAAACAAGTTAGACATAATACAATACAGATGTGAAATCCTAAATAAATAAATAACTCTAATTGGCGAGATGATCATCTATAAATTAGTTGACTTCCATGAACATACGAGATAGTCGACGAAATATGTGTGTCAGAAACACATTTATTTGGGTTCTATTATTATATTAGGTAGGATAATGATAATTATGGTTAGTAGAGATTTAGTCGGATTAGGATTATTATTAGGGTTCTCCGGTATTTACCCTATAAATATGTACTTTGGGTTTACGTCATAATCAATCAACCATAATATTAAGAACAGTCTGCTAAACCCTAGTTTATCCTCTCAACTCCTAATTTCTATTCTCACCCAATCCAAGGCCTCGACCGATTCCCAATTCTATTCTATTCTTTCTCTCAACCCCTAAATCCCTATTCGTTACGAATAATCGGGGGCGCCTAAGATCAGTCGCGAGAGACCCTAGAAGCGAGTTTCTCACAATTGGTATCAGAGCCCGGTTGAAGGCACTCGTACCGGAACCATGACGAGATTTGAAGGGCTCTCACTCAAAGAAACCACCAAAATCCTTAAAATGGAGTTGGAAGCGGAGATAATAAAATTCGAAGATTGGTTGGAACAACCTGTGTTCCCAACCACGCTAGAGCAAGGTGGAACCACCATTACTGTGAATGTCGAGAAAGCAACTGTTGCAGTGACTGTCGTCCCTGCAACATCACCATCATCGCTGGTCGTTTCCCCACCAGTCGAGACAAAGCCGGAGATTGACGAGTCCCCGGCAACGGAACCGCCGATTGAGAAAGAAACCCCATCACCAAACTGATTCGCTTCTGTCGCAGCTATGGCGCTGCCATTACCAACAATCGCGGCCTTCCCAGTAGTTCCAATCGCTGCTACAGCTCCACCACCATTACCGCTTGTTGCTGTGGAACAACCGTCCAAGGAGCTTAACGCCGCAGCTACGAACAGGGAAGAAGAGTCTCAACCGCCGATGTCGTCGACACCAATGAAATCGGGTTGGAAGGAATGTGCAGTCAAAATCGCGCATTAAAACGTAAAAACTTACGATTTTACGTATCCAGGCCACCAAAACGTTCCAGTTTCTACCTAAAGTCACTTAGTCACAAAAATTGGTAAAAACATGGGTAAAAACGGTAAAATCGCTTAAAATTGGTAAAATCGCGATTCTGAAGCGTTTTTATACGATTTTGATCATCTCATAAACATGTGCTAATTGGCCCAAAATTATGTAATTTTGAAGACATATTAGCAAAGAATAAAAAAAAAGGAAAACATGATTCATCACTCGTTCTACAACTAGTGTCGAGATAGAGGCTTCACATTAGATCGAAAAGATACCTAATGATATTCTCAACAGTCGCGGACCTTCTATCAGTCTTCTCCCTTAATCATCACTTGTGGCTCTTACCTGGGTTACGATAAAAGTTAATGGGTAATTGATTGTATATAATTATGTAAACTCAAACTAGCTTATGAGAATTTGGATTCTCAAACTCGTTTACGGGTTACGATCTACGTTTATGAGCTTATTATTAAGATGTTATGAGTTTTCTCTACTTTTGAGTCAACACAAATTAGTTTATGTGTTAGATATTACATTTTAATTATGAATTTCATGTAGTTATTCACTTATCTAAAATCTACACTCTCACATTTTACATACAATATGTTGTACTTAGGGGTCGTTTGGAAGTTGCGATTGTTAAATAGTTGTATTGTTGAGAATGCATGTATAATATTATACATGTATTGTCGAATTTGATGCATTGTAGAATACAACGTTTGGTATGTGTAATTGTATATGTCGCATAAGCCAAAAGCTTAGACAAAACAATCTCAACTCAACTATCTCAACAATCACAACTAAAAGTTGAGATATAACAATCACTCAAAATGAGCGATAGTTTCTGTCACATCACAGAAACAATCCATGTATTGTTTCTGCTAAAAAAACCAAAAAACGATGCATTGTAAACAATACATGCATAATGACAATCTCAACAAAACTATCGCAACTTCCAAACGACCCCTTAACATATTTTAGCTATTTTAGAGAGTGCGTAAAAAACTTACGCTTTTACGCTTTGATTCTACGTTTTACGATTTTACCCATTTTCCGCTTCTATGTAGAATCGCGCTTTTAACTGCATGGATTATTTTGCTGATTATGGTGGGACTTTGATTTGGGACGCTCTACATGGTTCAACTTGGAAATACAGGAAGAAAAATCTAGGGACCAGAGATGGGTTTGATTTTGAGCAGAAGGTTTGTACGCAGTCACCGGTGACGGAGAGCGACGAAGAAGAGAAGTCATCGCGCATCCGGTAAAGAAACCAAGGGCTGCAGCCGATCTCGTTCCTTTCCGCCAAAGACCAAGCACCTGAGGTTAAACCCGTCCGCGGCCCAAAAGACCGAGAGCTGGGAGTTCCGATCGAGCATAGTGGGGCCTCGCGTCACCATCTCTCAATCGCCATCAGAGGAATCGAGGGAGAAGAAGGCGTCGGAAGTGGAATCGAAGAAGAAGGGCGGCGCTTTTGGCGGGACTTCAATCGACGAGAAGGCGGCGCTGAAGACGACGATGGTGGGTTCGTGCGCCACCAAAAGGCCAGAATGGCTAGGCCGATCCGTGGTTCGGTCCGCCGAGTCGCGAGGCCAAGTAAATTGGGTCGAGAGAGATTATTCGGGCCGCAAGTCTTGTCGGATCAACTGTCGGGTGGAAGAAGTCTGAACTCGCCTTGGGCGTCTAGATCAGAGGTTTGGGCCAAAATCTGAGCATAGTGGGCCATGTCTGGATAGAGGAATAAAGCCCCATATGTTTTATGTTTTAAAAATAAAGATGGGCTGGGAGGAAAAGAAAGATGAGTTTAAGAGCTCAGCAAGTGGGCTTCTCATGGAGTCAAGCCCGAATAGAATTAGAGAGAAGGGTAGAAGGAATGGGCTTGATAGCTAGTTGGGCCACCACTTCCTTCTCCAAGCAATTGAGGGCCGACTTAGGAGTGAAGGAAAAGAGGTTTGGGAGCTTGTTTCTACCACCAAGTACTTGGCGGAATCAATTGAGCAATTCATTGAACATTTCAAGGTGGTCAATGATGAACGCAAGAAAGCATAACTCTCCGACTCTTATTTCGTGGACTTCGAAAAAAAGGAAGAAGAATTGTTTGGCGATGGAGAATGTGACATATGTTACGTGGGTGGAGAAGAGACGAGGAAAGTTGGAGTTGCACGAGCAGAGTTCCTTCGTGAACTGGAGCGCAATTGGAAACGAAGAAAGCGGAAGATCAAGGAGGTAGAAGTCAACTACAACCTTGAGGTCAATGTTGTATTCAAGGGGGATGGATTGTCAGAAACATATTTATTTGGGGTTTCTATTATTATATTAGGTAGGATAATGATAATTATGGTTAGTAGAGATTTATTCGGATTAGGATTATTATTAGGGTTCTCCGGTATTTACCCTATTAATATGTACTTTGGGTTTACGACATAATCAATCAACCAGAATATTAAGAACAGTCTCCTAAACCCTAGTTTATCCTCTCAACTCCTAATTTCTATTGAGCTCAGCTGGGAATCTTCCTTCATCGACAAAAGTAGTCAGTTCTCTGGTGATTTTTGGCGCTAAAGTATTCCAGTTCTTCTGGAAAAAGAGGGACGAAAAGCCATCATCGCCCGGAGCTTTGGTGGCTCCCATTTGAAACAACGACGCTTGGATTTCTTCTGCAGTGAAAGGTCGAAGTAATTTCTCATTCATTTGCTCCGTGACTTTCGTTTCAAAAGCATCAATAACCTTCCAGCAACTCTGATCCGCCTTGCTCTCAAACAACCTAGTATAATAGTGAAATAAGCACTCCGTGACTTCCTCTTGGCCCTTGTGTATTCTACCCTGTTCATCTTTAAGCCTCTTTATAGAATTTCTCTTCCTTCGCTCCGAGGCTTTGGCATGAAAAGCTTTTGTGTTTTTTCCCCTTCCTTGAGCCATTCCATTCTCGATCTTTGCTTCCATCTCAGCTCATTCTTATACAGCAGATCCTGCAACTCCAGCTCCATCTTTCTCTTCCTCGATCTCCAGTTTTCGCACTTCTTTTGTGTCTTCATCTCCTTTATGCTTCTTCTAATCTGAGCAATTCTCTTAGGAATCTCATCAAACTTTGCCTCACTCCAATTTCTAAGCTTATTTTCGCAGCTCTTTAAGCCCTGTTCCAGTCCCAGAATCTCGACATTTGCTTCTTCCTAAGCCTCTCTAGTAACCTCCAAGCTTTCCTCATCTTTTGCCCAGAAAGATTCAAAACGAAAACATCTTCCCCATTTTATCTCTTCTTCTTTTTCTCCATAGGAATCAATCAAAATCGGCAGGTGATCCGAAACCACTTCGTCTAGGTGGAGGACAATAGCGTTTCTGAAAAGATCCATCCACTTATCATTCGCCACCGCCTGATCCAACCGTTCTTCGATAAAAGCCTATCCACTTTTCCTATTTTCCAAAGTAAATAGATAGCCCACGAACCCAAGATCCTTCCACTACAACAAATTCGGCCTATTAGGACAAAAATTTTATTTGCCATTTTCTGTTTGTCACAATAGGTACGATGATATGACTAAAATGATATATGTCATATTTGGTTTGCCTAATGTGTCAAAAATAAAATTGGTCAGAATAAGTCGTCATTTAAACTGACTAATGTGACAGATATTTCGTGTCGCAATTAATTTTGTCAAAATAGGCATCCCATATCGGGATGTAAGAGACTCAACAGTGATAATTTCCTGTTGTCATAATATTTCCTCATTTAAAGTGAGTAATGTGACAAATATTTCGTGTCATAGTTAAGTTTGTCAAAATAGGCATCCCATATAGGGATGTAAGAGACACAAAAGTGACAAATTATATCGTCAGAGTAGCGTTTGTCATATTATGTCTTCCTGAATTGTTTAAATGACAAAGTATTTTGTTATAATAGATATCAATAGTCCCACGACGAGCTGACAAAAGGGCATGTTCGTCATAATATAGTTGTTTCGCTTTGGTCTGTAAATGTTAACATAAAAAGTATATATTCAATTATTTAAAAATAAATAAATATCTAAATAATATTTAAGATATAATTTAATTCATGAAATACGAATGTTAAATGTATTATACAAGTATAATACGTGCTTTATACGACCAGAGGTATATAAGCATCTCTTAAACTCTAGCAAAAAAAAACCCTAACCATTTTCCTCTTAACATCTCTGCCACTCGGCCTCTCAATTCTCTCGATTCATTCTTCATTTTCTCTAAAAAATCAAAGCAAACTTCTATCTATTCTTTCCTTCTCTCCTTCTCTTCGATCTATTCTTTCCATCCCCTTTTCAGATCGAGAAAAGATACTTCCCCCCTCTCCATCTCTTCTAAAAAACGATTCAATCTGCCTATTTGATTTCTCAATCTAACCTAATCTCCCTCCCTTCTCTTCTGTCAAAGATGAAACTGAAGGGAGACGAAAGGGCGGCGACATCGAAGGGCACGACGGCGATGAACGCCGACAGAGATGGCAATGACGATGTCAGTACATTGAAGGTCAATCAACCTCACCTCTCCCTATCGTTCTCTCTACTTGGAAGATCAAACAAAACAAAGAAGAAGAAAAAAAAATGAAATATGAAACCCTAGCTTTCTCAACCTGTCGCTGCCTCTTTGCGATAAACAAAAATCAAAATCCCCTTTCCCCTCTCTTGATCTAGCTTCGCCTTTTCTCTGTTCTGGTTATGACGAGGAGGAAGAAGAAAGGAACACGAGGCCGACGGAACAGACTGACGCCGATGATGTTGGCTACAGAGGTAAGGTTAATGCATGTATGTTTTTTCCGATACTTGTGTTAGGGGTGTTTTAGGATTCTAATCATTTTATTTTGCGTTCTGGATTTTTTGGTAGAGGTTTCATACGAGGAGAGGAAAGTTGGAAAATGAATCGTTGGCAACAATACTGGCCAGTAACAGCGGTGGGTAAAATCGGCCATTCCTCTAGTCCCTCCTCCAGACCACAGACGACGAGCTAGAGCGAGATTCAAGATCTAAATCCTCGATGACAGCGACCAGGAAGCCAATCCCAACATCCTCTATCTAGTCTTGCCCTTATTTGTCTGTGTTCAATAGATTAGAGGCAGTAATGTAATTTGCCACTGCTCTTGTTAATTGTTGTACGAGAGTGGCAGGTTAGACTGCTATGGAAATGGTTGTAATGTTTAGGGTTTTTGGTAATCTTTCCATTATTAGGTTCCAATGCAGAAAACAATTTCGAATTATGAAATTTTTGAAGCACAAAATATATTAATTATAATATTCAGCTATGACAAAATAATGTTGTCACAATAAACACTTGTGACAGATTCAGTCGTCACAATATACAGTTATGACAAAATATAGTAATGTAATGTGACGAACAATTCTCCCCAAATCACCATATTATGACAATCGTAATGACAAAATATGTCGTCATAACATCTCTGTGTGTCACAATAGATTACCCAAAACCTCAGCTATACTGAAAGCAAATGTGACAACCTTATTTTAATTTTTTGTCACATTTAACCTATCTTGACGACGATAAAATGAAAAACATTTGTGACAACACCTTTTGTCATATTATACCTAATATGACAAAATCAGTATCTAATATGACAAACTTGTTTCGTCATAATAGGCCGAATTTGTTGTAGTGTTCAGTCCATAGTCCATCAACGAATTGTCAAAGACCATCAGACGAGCCTCACTAACGAGATTCCCCCCTTCCTTTTCTGCATTCAAACAAATTTGATTAAAGTCCTCTGCACAGAGCCAAGGAAGGTCACTACTGTTATGCAGTTCCCAGATCAAATTCCACGCACGAAAGTGATTCTCCTTTTCCGGCCAACCATAAATTCCTGTGAAACGCCAAGGGTCTCTCCCTTTCTCGTCTTTGATTACTGCATCTATGTAATTTCTATCTTAATTCTTCACTTCCAGTCTAATTTCCTCATGCCAAAACAAACACAATCCTCCAGACTTTCCTTCCACCGAGACTCCTTCCCCTTTTGTGAATCCCAGATCCCTCATTGTTTTCTCCCATCATGCCTTTTTCAACTTTGTTTCTGAAAGGAAAACAACCTGGGATTTTTGGAACCTTATAACCGATCCCAATACTGCAATTGCCTTGGGATCCCCAACCCTTGGCAGTTGAGACATAACAGACTTATTGTTGTAGGCAGCCTTGTTCCTCGATAGGGTCCGCCTCTGGGAAGCATTGTTTGTTGTTCTTCTTATCATCTTTAAACCTTTTTCCTTCATTCTGGTAACCCATGACTCCTTCTTCATCAACTTCCATATCATCATCTTCATTGGTTCTCTTTCCCCCTACTTCAGTTGTATTCGTCGAGCCTTCAGCTCTCCTTTCTCCTTGCTTGGTCCTTTTCCAATTTTTTCCCCTCGATAGCGTAGCTCCACCCTCTCTGTCCTTTGGCCCTTTACTCCCATTGGTCTCCCATGCATCAGATTTAGAGTTTTGTATATCCAGGCCCACAAAGACTTGGGTTAGGGGTTCCGAAAGTACTTGACTACTTTTCCAAGTCCAACTTCTTTATTTCCCGCCTGCGTTTTGAACATCCCTTCCGTTTTATCATTCTGCTCCGTTTCCAGGGTGTCTTTTCGTATGCCTTGCTCTCCTGGCTCCTTCTGGAGACTTTCAACTATTGATGGGTTGACATCTTCTTTGATAATATCAAATAACTTTTTCTTAGCCGATTTCGGCAATTGAGGCGTCACCCAACCGTTCACATTTGAGACTTTGGCATCATCGGACTCCTCGCCTGAGATTTTTTTCCCCCGCCGACCAGATTTTCTCTGACTTTGTTACTTCCGATCTGCCTTTTTATCGTACTTTTTAACCGGGGAAGTTGCACGTAACCAGCTTCCATACTGAGCTTCCTCCTCTGACACAATTTCTTCCTAACAATCTTTCTTCAGATGTCCCAGCATTCCACAGTTGTAACAGAAGTTTGGGAGTTTCTCATACGCTACAGTATACAAAACTTTCCGATCATCCACTTCCAGTAGCACCCCTCTTCTTAAAGGCTTTGTGATTGTGAAAGTTACTCTTAGCCTCATATAGTTACTCCATATCCCTGAGTTTGCTGTATCATAGATCTTAACAGATCCAAACATGGATCCAATTTTTGTAGCCAGACTCTCTGTTCGCATCTTTGCTAGGATTTTCCTGACTCTAACCCACATCTCTGTGCAGGTGAAATCTGTATCTGTGAGTTCTTTCCCTCTATCCACCGGTCTGATAATGATTAATTGATTTTCGAAATGCCACGGTCCTTCAAAGATCGCTTTTTCTCTGTCCTCAGCTTGTATGAACTGGAAAACCAACAAGTTTTCCTCTAAAACTTGAACATCAAAATCTTCTTTTGGCTTCCAGACTGCCACCAGGGCTGTTTTTAGGAACTTTGTACCCGACTTCCTTGATCCCAACAAACGTCCAATGGCTCCTAGTTCTTCAACGACACAGTTGTTGTGTTGTCAATGTCATTCTCCTCCACTTTAATAGAGCTGAATTCCTCTTCTGACAGACTAATATTTCTCATCTGCTGCTCCATCTCTTTTGCCATGGGGGGAAAACGTGCCCCACAAATCAGAAAAACACAGGTAAAACCGACACAGTCACCAGGAAACAGAGAGAGGGAGGAGAAAGAAGATGAAGATGAAGGTGAGGATTTGAAACATAACAGAAAGAAGGGAAAAAAATGAAAGAGCTCCATCCGGAAGATGAAAAGACAGCAGTCAAGCAGAGGCTGACTCTAAGAGTTAGAGAGAGACTCTCATAGAGAGAGAAATGACATAATTAGTCACTATAAAAAACCCCACTTCCCCAAAAGAATACAGACCCATCAACCTTTGTTCTGTGTTACATAAGATTTTGTCAAAGACTATTGCTAACAGACTGAAAGAAGTTTTGGATGATCTTATATGTGAAGTACATAGTGCATTTTTCCCTGGAAGATCAATTACGGATAATGTGATTGCTGCGTTTGAATGCTTCTCTACCATGAAGAACATGAATAAAGGTGAAAGAGGCTTCATTGCACTCAAACTCGATATGGCTAAGGCCTATGACCGAGTTCAGTGGGTCTTTCTTGAAAGAGTCATGGCTAGACTTGGTTTTGATGATAGGTGGATTAAGCTTATTATGAATTGTGTCTCATCTGTGTCTTATGCAGTTTTGGTTAATGGACACAAGTCCAGATTTTTCAATCCTGGTAGGGGTCTGAGAGAAGGAGACCCGTTCTCCCCATATTTGTTCCTTTTGTATGCAGAAGGTCTCTCAGCTTTGATCAACAAAAATGGAAAAGAGAAGAAGATTCATGGGCTAAAAATCTGTAACAGGGCACCAGTGGTCTCACACCTCCTGTTTGCTGATGATTGCATCATCTTCGCTAGAGCAAGTCTGGAAGAAGCAGAGAAACTGAAAGAGATTCTAATGGATTACGAGAAAGAGTCAGGGCAAATGGTGAATTTGGACAAGTCATAAGTCTTCTCCAGTGAGAACATTGCGGACAGCAGAAGACAAGAATCTGCAGAGAGCTGAATATAAAGGAAGTGGATAAGCTGGCAAAGTATTTGGGGCTCCCCACCATGATTGGCAAATCCAAGAAATTGGTTTTCAGCACTCTAAGGGACAAAGTGAGGAACAAGCTGATGAACTGGAAAACAGATTCTTTTCAGAAGCCGGGAATTATTGAGGATATACACAACCTTATTGCCAACTTCTGGTGGGGACAAAAAGGAAATGAAAAAAGAATTCACTGGAAACGATGGGAGAAGCTTTGCAGAAGGAAATAGCAGGGAGGAATAGGATTCAAAAACCTCAAAGTTTCAATACAACTATCCTTGCAAAGCAGCTCTGGAATATGAATCTCAAGCCTCAATCCCTCGTTGCAAGACTACTTAAGGCAAAATACCATCCGAAATGCAGCATTCTGGATGCAACACTTGGTTGGAGACCTTATGGGGGCCCAGGAGCTTCTAAAGACGGGCTGCAGATGGAAAATTGGCTTAGGAGATGAGGTCTACATTTGGAGGGATCGTTGGGTTCCAGGTCTGGAGAACTTTTAGGTATACTCCTACATCCCTTTTCTGGATTGGGACTCTAAAGTTTCATGTCTCATTGATCAAGATACTAGAACATGGAGAAGGGACTTGATTGAACTTATTTTCACAAATGAGGAGCAGCAGGCCATTATGGATATCCCTTTATCTTCTGTTATTGAAAAGGATGTTTTATGCTGGGTTGGTAGTGAGAGTGGAAAGTATTCAGCCAGATATGAATATGACGTAGAGATGAGTAAGATGGGTGGGACAATGTCTGAAAGTGAAAATGAACAGGAGAGGAGTGCAGGTTGGAGGAAAATCTGGAAGCTGAAAATCCCGTGAAAGATTAAGACTTTTCTTTGGAAGGCTGCCCATAACATTGTTCCTGTGGGAGTAAGAATCAGTAAGAAAAGTAAAAGAAGAGGAGATGAATGTCCTAATTGTAGCATGAAGGAATCACTGAAACATTGTCTTGTGGAGTGCAGCTGGGTTGGGAGAATCTGGTCAAAAACTCCAGTTGCAGATCTGTTCTATTGTGCTTAAAATCTCTCTTGCAAAGAATGGATTTTCAAGGTGTTTAAGGAGGCGAAAGAAGGGGATATCGAAAGATTTTGCTCGCTTCTCTGGTTTCTCTGGAAGAAAAGAAACAATTGTTTATTCAACAATAAGATGCTGCAAGAATGGGAGGTCTTCACAAGAGCTGATGACTTTATACAGGATTATATGGCAGTCCAAGGAAAGGAGAAAGCCAGCAGCAGAGGTGCTGACAGGAAGAACTGCAAGTGGGAAAAGCCTCCTGAGGGGGTTTATAAGCTAAACTCTGCTGCAGGATGTAGTGGTAAAGGGGAGATAGGAATGTGATGTATTATTCGAGACTGGCATGGGAATGTGAAAGTGGTAGCTAGCAGGACAATTAGAGCAAACTAGCCCCCTGATATTGCAGAAGGGATGGCTTTACAGTTTGGGTTGCAAAAAGCTAAAGAATTGGGACTAAGAACCATACAAGTGGAGTCTGATTGCAAGAAGTTGATAAACATCCTTAAGGGCAATGAAGATAGCAGAACAAAAATCGAAAATGTGTGTAGAGGCATCGCTTTATTAGGCGTGGAGACTGATGTGCTGGATTGGAAGTTTGTTTTCAGAGAAGCTAATATGGAAGCTCACCTCCTTGCTCATTTTTTTCCATTTCCTGTTGTCGGAGAAAGAATGTGGCAAGGCTGTTACCCAACCCAGATAGCTGATGTAATTGCCCAAGAGGCTGAATTTTGATTTCAGTGAAATCGTCTTGAGTTAAAAAAAAAATTCCTAATTTCTATTCTCACCCAATTCAAGGCCTCGGCCGATTCCCAATTCTATTCTATTCTTTCTCTCAACCCCTAAATCCCTATTCGTTACGAGTAATCGCGGGTGTCGAAGATCAATTCCGAGAGACCCTAGAAGCGGGTTTCTCACAGTGTGCTCCGATCCTCATGGATATATCAACCAGAACACAGAACACAGAACACGAATACACGGTGAATATGAAGTACCCACCTATATATTTTTGCAAATTGCAAACGTCCACTTGCATTTCACAATTCACTAATAAAAAATTAAAACAAAAATGTCGCATCTCAATCATCACAAGCTATAAATGCAGAGAGGGTAAATGGAGAACGTGGTCATAATTACTTCAGACAACGATGGCATGGGAGTGATGGGACTCAACCACCAGCCAGTTGAGTTTTTGCATGGAGACTTCTTCAAAGGGGATGCATATTGGGTATTAGATTTACGGTTGGTATGGTTTAATTTAGTGTATCTACATTATATTCTACCTTTACGAATGAATTTTGATGTATTATAAACTACAAGTTATGGAGCACTTTTACTATGCTATATAACATTGGTGCTTTAATGTACAACTTGAAATTGTACCATAACATTAAATGTATAAGTTTAGGGTGTACCATAAAGGAATTTGTATCATTATGTTATGATACAACTTTACAACCTAAAGCTGTACCATCACATAAGGTACAAGTTTAAGTTGTACCATAAAAGAATTTGTACAAAAAGTATAGGTACAATTTGAAATTGTACCGTAACGTTAAAGGTACAATTTCAAGTTGTATCATAAAAGCAAAAACCTATAGCACCAATGCTATATAGCATTGTAAAATTCCTCCAAGTTATGCTATCTGTATTATGTTTTCAATAATTAAAAACTAAAGTATATATTTAACGAAAATGTCACTCTTAGTCTTAGTCATTCTTTTCAATGCAAAAAGTATCTTCTAAGTTATATAACTGGATACTGGAACAAACATGAAAGCAACAATCTCAACTAAATCATCTCAACAATTTTATCTAAAAACTTAATTCGTACGATCATCATTTATTTTGAACAAATATTTTTGTAACATCAAACAAACAATACATGTATTGTAAATATATAAAAATACATATTCTAATAGGGGTGGGCAACGGGGCGGGATACCCGTCCCGTTTGAAATGGGTACCCAATCCCATTTAGAGAGCATGATTTTGATAGATGACTTCTCCTCACTTCATATTCTCTCCTCTCTCCCTGTGTAATAATGGACCTATTATTATTATTATTATTATTATTATTATTATTATTATTATTATAATATGGGCAATGAGTTTATGGCTTCCTGTTCTACCAAAAAAAAAAAAATTAATGGCATCGGGTCAGATCTTAGTTGTACTCATTTAAAGCTACGTACCTAGCTAGCTTTGCCTTTGATATCAAATCCAATGCCAAAGAAATGCCCAGCTGGGCCATCCAATTATGGATTGCCATGAATGGACACTGTTACTTTGCATCTTCTGCATCTTCCCTTCCTATATTGAGGGGCGACGACAAGAAGCCGTGTCGGCACAGTTGACTTATAACATACACTGATCATCGAGTTATGGATATGGTCTATGGGCAGGTAGAGACTACAATACGATCATCCTTATATGATATATCGATGGATAGATAGAGCTAAAACGATAATCGTTTAAAAAAAAAATCCTTTATGCATGTTGATGTTGATTACAAAGATGATTTTGTTTATAAATATTTTGAAACTACCAATTTTACAACAATTATTTGACTATACAAATCCACCTACAATGGATATCTGCCCGGAACTGATCTAATGGAGTAGGGTAAACTCGAATTCGAAGGATTTTCGGTGGTATGAATAAAATTCGAAAAATAAAATAGGTGAGCATGATTTTGATTTACAATCCTATTCTTGTGTGAGTATGAGTATGCAAAAACCCGAATTACTTTGGGTAGGATAATGAATATGCACTATCCACCTCTTATCCAATCCGTTGCCATTTCTATCAAATATCGTACTAGAGGCGAACACAGATTTGATCTCGTGATACTACGGCTGATGTTCAATTCGAAGGTCACAAGTTCGAATCCCTAAAATAACATGTAATGATAAAGAAACTAATATACGTCACCCTTATCTAAAAAACAAACATTAGAACGAGCATCATTGCTTCCCCACAAACAGATTATTCATTATGACTGTGATAGAATGATATAATTGTACTGAATTTGATTATGAAGGTCCTTAATTAATTAGTACAAATTTTATGTCATCATTGTGATAAAAATACGATCCAAACCAATTAGAGGTATGTAACTGACTCATACTCATTACCACCGTAATTGAACCGCTCGATTATTATGTGACTAGATGTATAAAATTTTACAACTCTTCTGAAGTAGCAAGCTAAGCAAGCCCATATCTCGAAGCAGCTTCCAAGTTGCATGCAAAAGTTGGACGTTGGTGATATTAAACATATTGAAAGAGTCAAACAGCCATGCAGTTTGACTTTCGTTGTCTTAAATTGGGTTTGCCGTCCGCCACTCCCTCAACCGTATCCCCGACGCGTCATATTAATCTTAACGTGGACCTATTAAGTGAACAATCTCCCGTACTTCCTTTAATAACTACGATTTACGATAACTAAGCCCCAACGAAAACCATATATAAAAAGCACACACCATAGTCCATAGTAGCCTCCATCCAAGCATCAAACAACTGCAGAAAGAAAAAAGAAAAAAACACACATACCACTCAAAAAGGAGAGCAATGTCGTCAAAGTGGGCTTCTCTGCTTCTGGTTCTGGCCTGCATTGTTCTCCACATCAGTGCCCTAGTGCTTGCTGACCATGACGACGTGGCAAGGTACCGAGACTACGACGACGACTGCCGCTTTAGTCGCCGCGGCTGTGGTGGACGTTACGGCCGTGGACCAGCGTGGGGACGGCCTGGAAGAGGCGGCGGAGGTCGAGGTGGCGGCATTGGAGGGGGAGGCGGGCTTGGTGGCGGTAGAGGCGGCGGCGGGGGCCTAGGTGGCGGTGCCGGGGGAGGCGGAGGGCTCGGTGGTGGTGGAGGTGGAGGCTTGGGAAATGGCGGTGGTGCCGGGGGAGGCCTTGGTGGTGGTGCGGGAGGAGGTTTGGGTGGCGGAGCTGGTGGTGGTGCCGGAGGAGGTTTGGGTGGCGGAGGAGGCGGTGGAGTTGGGGGTGGATCTGGGCAAGGTGGAGGTTTCGGGGCTGGAGGAGGAGTGGGTGGTGGAGCTGGGGGAGCTGCTGGAGGTGGTGTTGGCGGAGGCGGTGGTTTCGGTGGTGGAGGAGGCGGTGGTGTAGGTGGGGGATCCGGACACGGCGGAGGATTTGGTGCGGGAGGTGGAGTAGGTGGTGGAGCAGCTGGAGGAGGGGTTGGTGCCGGTGGTGGTGGAGGAGGCGGCGGAGGTGGTGGTGGCGGTCTTGGTGGTGGTTCGGGACATGGCGGAGGTTTTGGAGCCGGTGGTGGTGTTGGGGGTGGCGTGGGAGGTGGTGCCGCAGGCGGAGGAGGGGGCGGTGGTGGCGGCGGAGGAGGTGGTGGAGGTTTGGGAGGAGGATCTGGCCACGGAGGAGGGTTTGGCGCCGGCGGTGGTGTAGGAGGTGGAGCTGCAGGTGGTGGCGGCGTTGGAGGCGGAGGAGGTGCTGGGGGAGGCGGTGGTGGCGGACTTGGTGGTGGGTCCGGGCAAGGTGGAGGGTTTGGTGCCGGTGGAGGTGTTGGAGGAGGAGCTGGAGCCGGAGGAGGGTTAGGCAGTGGAGGCGGTAGAGGTGCAGGTGGTGGTCTCGGTGGCGGACGTGGCGGAGGAGCCGGTGGTGGATTTGGCATTGGGATTGGTGTTGGAGTTGGCGTCGGCAGTGGTGCCGGAGCTGGGAAAGGAGTTGGAGTTGGGAGTGGCTCTGGCGGAGACGGCGGCGGCAGATGATTCGTTACTTGGTCGGGCGTCTGTTGATTTCTGGCAGATGTTCATATATTACCATTATCTTGGCATTGTTGGGAAACTAGATCCTTTTGTTGATTTCTGGCTATGATTTTGTTGTTTGGAAAAAAAGAGCTAATTAAGGTATGTGTGTTAATTAGCAACTTGATTAATTAAAAAGCGAGAGAAGTAATGAGGGTTTAAGTTGGAGTTTTTACTCATTTGTTCAAATTTAACGCAAGTCATTATGTTACCAGCTGTTGCCTCAATATTCCTAATCAGCATTCATATGTAGGCTGGTAGGCTGGTGGCTGGTTCATCGGACTTCTCATTCGTAGTCGAATCATCGAACTCCATGCATGGTTTGCAATTACATCCATATGCAAGCTATTTGTACACTATCTTGACTCTCGAGTCGTGACTATTGACCTTGTGTCATGTTAACTATCAAATATATAGCTTGATGAACTGTAAGGTTTGGGTAAAACGTGTGTATTATCATTATAACAAGGGGTATTTATACCCAAGGGATACAAGTACAGTATACTATAAGGACAAGGAAACTACTAACTTATAATACAAGTAAAATATATGATGTATCCCTATGCGCCCTTGCAAGATGGAGGTGGCATCAACAAGTCTAATTTTGGACAGAAGAAGAAGAAAACGAGTACACAAAAGCGGTTAAGTAAGAAGATCCGCCAGCTGAGACGACATGGGAAGATGACGAACCACGAGCTGGCGAGACTTGACGAGCCGACGAACGAAGTAAAAGTCCAGAGCAAGGTGTTTCATACTAGAGTGAAACACTGGATTGGAGCTGAAATGGACAAAACCCAAATTATCACAGAAGATAGTAGGAGGCGCTGTGAGAGACTGATGAAGTTCTGTCAGAAGGATGTGTATCCACTGGGCCTCGGAAGTAGCCAGTGCGAGCGCACAATACTCTACCTCTGTGCTGGATCGAGCGACAATAAGTTGCTTTTTCCACTTGCACGAGATAAGAGTGTCACCAAGATAGATAAAAAAAACCCCCGAGGTGGAAGTGCGGTCATCGGGATCACCAACCCAATCAGAGTCAATGAATACACGAAGAGAAAGGGGTTGGCGAGCACGGTTGATACGCAGACTAAGAGTATGGGTGCCAACAATGTACCGAAGAAGACGCTTAACGTACTCCAATGCATTATAGTGGGAGCATGCATGAACTGAGAGAGTACCAACAAGATACTGAAGAGTACCAACAACCTGGCGATAAAGAGCGCACAATACTCTACCTCTGTGCTGGATCGAGCGACAATAAGTTGCTTTTTCCACTTGCACGAGATAAGAGTGTCACTAAGATAGATAAAAAAAACCCCGAGGTGGAAGTGCGGTCATCGGGATCACCAGCCCAATCAGAGTCAATGAATACACGAAGAGAAAGGGGTTGGCGAGCACGGTTGATACGCAGACTAAGAGTACGGGTGCCAACAATGTACCGAAGAAAACGCTTAACGTACTCCAATGCATTATAGTGGGAGCATGCATGAACTGAGAGAGTACCAACAAGATACTGAAGAGTACCAACAACCTGGCGATAAAGAGTAGCATCCGCCGGAGAAGAACCATCAGCGAGATGAATACGAGCAGTAGAGGAGAGCGGAGTAGATCAACCACACACTTGTGCTGGGACAAGAAATAGCCAGTGGGTGTGGGAATGACCTCAATAACGAGGAAAAATTCACATGATCGAGGTGTTTCAGAGAAAAGCGCTCCACTAGCTGCTTACGAAAAGATGAAAGAAAGCCAGGATTGTTGCCAGTAAGAAGCAGATCATCAACATACATGCATCAGAAAATATGTGAGAATACCACGTCGGTGATACACGAACAAGGAAGCATCGGAACTAGTCTTCACGAACCCACACTGAATAAGAAACGAGCTCAACGCATCATACCACGCGCGTGGATCCTGCCAAAGTCCACAGATTGCCTTACAAAGATGACAAACATGTCGGGGATAACGAGGATCATGAACTCCCAGTGGCTGAGACATATAAACCTCCTCCTGGAGCGGACCCTGAAGGAACGCATTATGAACGTCGAACTAAAAACGTCCTGATGGTGGTTGGCTTCAAAACGGGACTGTAGGTCTTATGAAAGTCCACCCCCGATTGTTGATGAAAGCCCTTTGTCACAAGACAATATTTAAATCGCTTAAGAAAGCATCTGGTAAAAATGTAACATGATATACCCAGCGATAACCCACTACATTAAAGTTGGGTTGACGAGGGACAAGATCCCAAGTATGGTTCGCACACAACGCTTGATTCTCAGACGCCATCGCCTGTCTCCATTCAGCATATTTGGGAGCTTTTTTTATCAAGGTTGGTTCAAGACGAGGCAAAGACGAGGGAAGACGATTAATAAGATATACAACAGTGGAAAATGCATAAGACCAATAATGAAGAGGAAGCTTAGCACGATGAAGTAAAGTGAGACCAGTTTCCACAATATGACGATAATTACATTCAGACAGGCCATTATGCTCAGGCGTACAAGGAGGAGTCAAAAGATGGGTGATGCCATAAGTAGACATATCATGACGACGTTTTTGAAACTCACACCCACCGTCAGTATAAAACCGGCAAATAGATGTGGAAAAGTAGTTGTCGACTAGCCATTTGGACGCAAGAAAGACGGATAAAACATCATATTGGCGACAAAGTGGACAAAACCATGTATAGAGAGAAATCATTCACTAAAACAAGTAGTACGAATAACCATCGACTGAAGTAAAAGGCGCATATCCCCACACATCCGAAAATAACAAGTCCAAGGGACGAGAACTAGAAAGACTAGACATGCTAAACATACGTTTATGACTCTTCGAACAAAGACAAGAATTACAATGTGAAATAGCCGACTTAAGAACAGGGAGAAAGTCGACACGAATAAGATGGGAAAAAGCTCGAGAAGACGGATGACGAAGATGACAACGCCACAATTCTGGGTGTTACGAGTGATGACCAAAGCAAGACGAACGGAACTAGTCCCACCACCAAGCTCATACGTATCACTGTTGTTCCTTCCGGTCAGCAGCGCCTCCTTTGTTCTTAGATGCTTCCCAATAAAAGAATGAGCAAAGAATTCCACCGAGACAAGGTTAGCACGACAAAGCTTAGCAACAGATAATAGGCTCTTGCAAATACCAAGAACACACAAAATATCACAAAGATTCAAACAACGAGTAGGTGTCAAGATAGAAGAAGAACCAATCTGTGTAATGGCCATAACTATACCATCGCCGAGATACACCTCGTTCGGACCATTATAGTCAGAGTAGAGAGCTAGATTACCAAGATCATGAGTCACTTGATGCATGGATCCATGAGCCAAGGTTCTACAGCCTGCTCTGATGGGCGAGGAGAGGCTGCAGAGGTAGTGGTATTCGCCTGGGAGGTTTATGAGGAAACAGTAGATATAACTAAAGAATCGAGTGTCCTGGTTTCTCGCAATACTAACAGATAACATGAGTAGGCCAGAGATCATCATAACCGCGAGGAGAATCCCAAGAACTAGACGAAGGGAGCGAGAAAGGAGAAGCGGCACGACCCGAACCCCGTCCAGCACTGCCACCGCGGCGACCACGCCCACGACCATGTTGTGTAGCGAACACAGTAACAGGAGCATCAGGAGTCTTGGTGGTGCGAAGATCACCCTCAAGGGCCACCAGACTATCAAGAAGATCCTCAAGAGGAGGAATGGTATCGCGAGCACAAATGGCGGCAGAAAATTCTCGATAATCGGGCCCGAGTCAACGCAGACGGAGCATGGCCAGCTTGACATAAAAAACTAGAGCTACAGCAAGCGCAAGCTCTGTGGCACAGGTACGAAGTTGTTGAATGAATGAAACAACATCTCGATAACCCTTGGTCTCATCATACAAGTGATCGCCTAAAGTCATGACGCGAGATTGAGACGAGCCAACATAGAGACGCTGGAGAGTCGACCAAGATGTAAAGGAGCCAAGGAGGTGGCCGACAAGCTGATGAAGGGTAAAACACTCTCGGAGACAAAGGCAAAGATGTCATTCAAGAGGAGCTGGTCTTGATGATACCAACGTAAATAAGCAAGATTACGAACCGAAGTGTCATTGACCGTGACCATGGCAGCCGGGGCAGCAAGCGTGCCATCGAGGTAACCAGTGAGGTCGAGCCCAACAAGAAGAGACATAAGTTGGGCACGCCTAGAAGGGAAGTTCATGGTGGTGAGCTTCAGCGGGAGGGAAGCGACCGGGTGGAACGTGAGAAGACCTGCTTCACCAGAGGAAACGCCGGGGGAGACTTCTTCCGAAGAGGCGCACCAAACATTATGAATCAGCAACAAGCAATATGAGAAAAAGCGAGAGCATTGAATGTGTGTGTCGGGAAAAAAATGAGGGTTTCTTAGAGTTGGAAAGATAGCTCTGATACCCCGTAAGGTTTGGGTAAAATGTGTGTACATTATCATTATAGCAAGGGGTATTTATACCCAAAGAATACAGGTAGAGTATATTGTCAAGAACCAATTTGGAAGAGATTCAATCGTGGATTATATACCACAACACTAACACGCCCCCTCAAACGAAAGCCACTCACTAGGGCTTGAAGTTTGCACAGGTCTGAAGACAAGAATACCATGTGCTTAACAAATGGGGTCACCGAGAATCGAACACAAGACCTCTCGGTCACAGAAGGCTCTGATACCATGTCATGAACCAGTTGACCCCAATAACTCGAGTTGTTGGGAGAAGGTTCTGCTGGATCTTATACTACATTCTAACATTGTCATGAACCAGTTGACCCCAATAACTCGAGTTGTTGGGAGAAGGTTCTGCTGGATCTTATACTACATTCTAACACGCCCCCTCAAACGAAAGCCAACCCATGGGCTTGAAGTTTGCACATGCCCACCATACCATGTGCTTGAAAGACAACGGTTAATATTGGGGGTCGTGGAGATTCGAACACATGACCTTTTTGATTCGAGGCTCTGATACCATGTCAAGAACCAGTTGCTCCCAATAACTCGAGTTATTGGAAGAGGTTCAATCGTGGATCATATACCACAACACTAACATATATTACAAGGACAAGGAAACTACTAACTTATAATACAAGTAAAATATATCACGTATCTCTAATTAATTAATTAATTAAAAGCACAAGTTTAGCTTTAATGGGTTTACTGTTGCATACGACAAATCCGGGTAAATGTAAAACCGGATATCACTGTTCACATAGCATTTATAAGCTGCGGCCGGATGTACCATAAGAAACAAAAACTTTGCGGGATTAATTATTTCCAACAGGATGGAACTAAAGGAAACTTAAAACCATGCTCCATACACTTCCTTCCTTCTTTACACTCTAGCATCCAATACTACCACCCTTTACATCACCCAACCGTCCTAGCATTGTTATTTCTATCATCCCTCTCGATAATTG